AACTGCTGAACCAGTGACAGAGCTGTTACAACAAGGTTATATATGTGGCGATGAGCAAGCAAGCGGGGTCTGAGCTGGAAAGGAATTCCATCCCCGGATGCAAGCACGTCAGTTGTGTTAATGGGGGAGATTAGGGAGAGATTAGGGAGAGAGATTAGCATGAAATGAGCTTCCGTCGCCGCGTAAGATTATCATCCCCGCATATGCGCACAACAGTAGTGTTGAGAGATTAGCACCATGAGAGTGCAATCCAAAGGACATGTGAGCATGAGAGTGCAATCCAAAGGACATGTGAGCATGAGAATGCAATCCAAGAGATCGGCTGTAGGGGGGGGGGGGAGAGAAGGGGGGGGGGAGAGAGGGGGTGGGGCAGAAAGTGAGACTCTTTCTCCCTAATCTCCCCCATTTACATAATTGACGTGCTTGCACCCGGGAATGGAATTCCTTTCCAGCTCACGACCCCGCTTGCTTGCCCATCGCCACATATACAACCTTGTTGTAACTGCTCTCTCGCTGGTTCAGCAGTTCCACTGCTGGATTATTTTTATTTTTCCGCCTGAGGACGACCGCTTGTGTTGCGATCGAAACGTCGTGATCTTTTATAATTTTTTCTACCTACGTGACTTTACCAAAAGAACCAAAGAATATTAATTCCTGCAGTCACGAACGTTGAGTGAAAATTTAATCGCCTCTATGGGGAGGGTTTCCACATAACCATAAGATATTTTAAGAAACACCGAGACAAGAAAACTCATCTGATCGAGTCACTCACATTTCTGAAGAGATTCCGCAACTCTAAGGTAATACCAATCTCATTTACACTGACTTCTGCTGCCATCACATCTTCCAATGCCAAACGAATCTTGTTGAGGGCTAGCTTGGCCCTGATCTCAGAGAGAATTAGACTGCTCTGTACTGAACTAGATCATGTAGACAAGACCCTCTTGCAATCACACTTAACATTGAAAGAAAAAATGTCTACATCTGATTGGAACATGTAGATAACATGACTGCTTCAACTGTCGCTACAATGTCAGCTAAATGTAAAGATAACCTGATTTCCAAGTTCAACCTCCTTTCCAAGAAGAAACCAGACCCACACATTAAAAAGTAAGACATTGACAAGGTTACGTTGAAGAGAAACAACAAAATATATATTTTGTTATTTTGTTGTTTCTCTTCAACGTGACTTTACCGAAAAAACTAAGAATATGAATTACTGCAGTCACGAAAGCTTTAAATCAAAATTGACAAGGTTGTTATTAATCTGAGTTATAGCCCAATTCCCGATGGTCTAAAGTCGATTTAAGCTAAAGGGTTAAACTTTTCAGTCACCCCCAAACACATACCAGTGGATGACATGTAGCGTTTAAGGGTTTGGGACACATCGCTGCAGACGTGACAAGATCTGAAATGGCTGCAACCCTCAAAAGCGCTATGATGCCAGTCAGCAACTTCAGTAAGAATGAGTGTTTTGAGTTATCTCAATTGAAAAATAGGGATGATATCGTCATCCTCTCAGCCGACAAAGGCATTGCCATGATCATGGATAAAACCGTGTACAATAACAACATTCAGGACCTACTTAATGATGGTAGCTACACAAAAATTTAAAGAGATCCCACCAACAGCCTCGTTCCAAAAACTAACAGTATCATCACTGATTCAGCTTCATTAATTGAACAGAACAAACGGTTTTCCTTAAAACCTTCTGCTGCTAGACCACCCAGATTATATGGCTTACCAAAAATCCATAAAGGCACACCCCTTCGTCCCATCGTCTCTACCATGGCTCATCCACCTACAAACTCGCCCGATATCTGTCTGAGACGTTACAGCCATTCACTGGTAAGACCACCTCTTCTGTACTTAACTCAGCTCACCTGGTATCGCCAAGTAAAGACATCTCACTGTCCCCACATGATTTACTCATCAGTTTCGATGTAGTTTCTTTGTTCACCAAAGTTACTGTGCCCAATACCATTGCAATCATTGAAGATCTGGTCCAACAAGGATTGAATGATGATGTACCGGCCCTGGTGAGACATTGCCTCACAAATACATACTTCACCTGGAATGGAATATTCTACAAACTGAAGGCACCCCCAATGGGTTCTCCCTTATCTCCGGTTGTAGCCAATATTTTCATAGAAAAATTTGAGACGGGCGTCATCCAGGCATCCACTCTACACCCGTCCTTGTAGAAGAGGTACGTGGATGACACGTTTGTCATCTGGCCACATAGCCAACCGGCTCTAAACCAATTCCTCAACAATATCAATTCCATACATCCAGCCATCAAATTCACCATGAAGGTAGAAAAGGATGTCATGCTACCTTTCTTGGATGTCCTAATCAAAAAGAGACCAGATGGCTCAATGAGCCATTCTGTCTAAAGTTACCCATACTGATGCCTACCTAAAACCTGATTCCCACCACCATCCATCCCAGAAGAATTCCCTCATCAAAACGCTACACCATAGAGCTCAATGTATCTCCGACCATGAACACCTAACTAATGAACTCAAACACGTACACCAAGCTCTCAAGGCGAATGGATCTTCTGAGGACACAATCCGCAAAGCCATCACCGCAACCGTGAGGAAGGAGCCATCTGAGGATCCAATCAAAACCATCACCTTGCCACACATAGCAGGGGTAACCAAAAAGATTTCCAAAATCATGAACAAACACAAGATCCAGGTCCGATTTAACACAGTACATACAATTTGTGATCTGATCCCATCTGTGAAGGACAAGATTCCTGACATACAATATCCCGGCATCTAAAAATTCAGCTGTATCTGCGGCAGCAGTTACATTGGGGAAACTAAGCGACATGTCTTGGACCGTGTTCGTGAACATAATGCAGATTTGAAACACGGTAGGACCAATACGTCTGCCATGGCTGATCATTATTTTAATGCGGCTGGCTCACACAAAATTGATTTCTCTAAGACGATGGTACTTTGCAAGCCTACTGGCTACATTCATGAAGCCATCCATATATACAGACACAGAGACAATTTCCACCGAGAGGAAGGTTATAGACTCAGCAATCATTGGAAAGATGTTATCAACCACTTTGCTTCATGACTTGACTTGTGTTTTCTTGTCAATCAACCTCCACTGTCGGCAGTGTGGTGTGTGAAGCGGGGTGCAGGAATTTCTTGCGGCCCTTTGCTGCATTGGCATTGCTGCTGCATTGGCATAGTTGCTGCATTGGCATTGCTGCATTAGCATTGCTGCTGCATTGGCATTGCTGCTGAGTTGGCATTGCTGCCCCACTCATGCTCCTGGTGCTGCTGATACACTTGGGCTATGCCCATCCCCAAAGCTTCATAAACAGTTTGCCTTTCGAGGCAAACTCCTTTGCCTGATGACGACCGCTTGTGTTGCGATCAAAACGTCGTGATATTTTTATTCACTTTATTTGTATTACTTTTTATATCTACATGACTTTACCAAAATAACCAAAGAATATGAATGCCTGCAGTCACGAAAGTTTTAAGTCAAAGTTTAATACGTGTCTATTTGGTGTTTGAAACTTCGTAACAACTGCATTGTCAGAAATGGTAAGGATGCTGAGATTGCAGCACTATGCCACCACTCAATATCACACACAAAGATATCCAGGCACGATCAAACTTTAGGGTAATGTAATGCAAGTGAGAATCGACAAGGTCAGCACAGCAGTCAAAGAGTAGTGGGCGCTCACTCTCATTTGCATAGCTGATATGATCACAGTAAACATAAAATTCCAAATACCTCAGTGAACGAATAAAAGAAAATTTTAAGGGTTCTTACAGTGAGGTGGTTACAAAATTTGAATGGACTGTGAAACGTGGGAACCTGCACATGGCCATAAAATTGGTAAATGTCAAAATGTATTGCTATATTCTACGTATTATCAGACGTCCCAGAACATAAGTCGCACCCTAAAGCGTGCATCTAATAACTGGCAGGATTGCAGTACTGCAGGGAGTTGTCTTCCAGAAGGTGATCATGAACGTGCTGCGTTACAATGGGGCAATGACATCTTCTGGCTCTGGTCTTTTTAACCTTTGGGTGGGTAACTGAATAGACGACCCCTGGAATTCAAGTTCAGTATGCTAACCATTTCACCGAGGGAGCATTCTGTTGTTTAATATAAAACTAAAATAGTACCCGTGGAAACGGGATGTCAGAACTCATAACGCTCTGTATTCAGTTGAGCATTATTAACGAATAGGCATGTAGAGTATCGATAAATAATCCGAGGATCTAAAGGAAAAAAAATCGATTGCGGGATGAAGAGCTCTTAATGGGATACGTTCCATGTCTATCGAGTAAATAGGATTCATAAAAATATCCACTGCGTGCCACAGTTTACATGCATTTGTCAATTTGAGAATGATTTACTACGGAGTAATTGGTTTCTACAATAATAAGTGACCACTGTTGGCTTTTCACAAAGGTATAATAACTTCATGGTCCCCATAATGGATGAGTTGACCTCCAAATAAAATTTAAACTTACTCTAATTCCAGCACCACCCATTCAGTTACAGAAACGTTAAAACATTAACACACAATTATAGAGTAATGTTAACCAGTGACATGGAAGTGGCATTTGTGTGCGTAAGAGTCGATCATTCTATAACACTCGCTACAGGAGAACTCATCTTATCACAACCCTATTACCAGTGACTCCTATTATCTGTGGTAGCTGTAGGGTCTGCAAAACCTCCTAGTATAATATCCGTGACCATATTCCTATTATCTGCAGCTTTTTCTATCCTTTACAGAATGACCTATCCTTCATATATGTTTGTGAATAGGTTTTTAGTGGCAATTGTAACCTATGATACATGATTATCCACACTAATTTTAATTAGTGGAGTAAAATCACAGATAACCTGCAGATAATAAGACGCGAAATATTGGTCACCCACATCACCACGGATAAAAGTTCTATATATCTATTTGGAAATAAAAGCACAAAAGGTTGCATGAGTTTACCAATACAGATGAGGAATAACCCGACGAGAATCTGCAAGGAGATGGATAGAGCCAGCATGCCCAGGAGAGGCTTGAAGTACTTGAATTCAGTTCCAGAATCCATCACCGACTTCAGCTGTGAGGCGTTTGCCATGAGCAGGGCCACATCCAGGAAGCTCTGTGCCACGGTCTTTACCGACGAATACCGCTTCAGGTTTTTCATGTAATCCGCCTGCAAAGAGACCACACAGTTCAATCTATGGCTTGATTTCTCATAATTTTCCAGCTCCATGGTAGACTAAAGAAGGCACGTATGTATGTTGAACTTCTTTCGCGCCGTATGTAGCCAACCATGCTAATCGGAGGTGCGGAGAAAGAACAAACTGAGCACAAAACGTAGTTCTAAAGAAATTAGTTTTCAACTTAGATTTGAAAGTGCATAGTTCCAGTGGCTTCCGAATTTCGGAAGAGTGTTCCAGACGCACATCTGAAAGTGCGCGATGCAATGACCGTCTTTGTTGGATGGTCTGCCAAAAGCCACTATTAGCCACGGCCATAGCTAGAAGTACAGTGAGGGAAAAAAGTATTTGATCCCCTGCTGATTTTGTACGTTTGCCCACTGACAAATAAATGATCAGTCTATAATTTTAATGGTAGGTTTATTTGAACAGTGAGAGACAGAATAACAACAACAAAATCCAGAAAAACGCATGTCAAAAATGTTATAAATTGATTTGCATTTTAATGAGGGAAATAAGTATTTTACCCCCTCTCAATCAGAAAGATTTCTGGCTCCCAGGTGTCTTTATACAGGTAACGAGCTGAGATTAGGAGCACTCCCTTTAAGAGTGTGCTCCTAATCTCAGCTCGTTACCTGTATAAAAGACACCTGTCCACAGAAGCAATCAATCAATCAGATTCCAAACTCTCCATCATGGCCAAGACCAAAGAGCTCTCCAAGCATGTCAGGGACAAGATTGTAGACCTACACAAGGCTGGAATGGGCTACAAGACAATTGCCAAGCAGCTTGGTGAGAAGGTGACAACAGTTGGTGCGATTATTCACAAATGGAAGAAACACAAAAGAACTGTCAATCTCCCTCGGCCTGGGGCTCCATGCAAGATCTCACCTCGTGGAGTTGCAATGATCATGAGAATGGTGAGGAATCAGCCCAGAACTACACGGGAGGATCTTGTCAATGATCTCAAGGCAGCTGGGACCATAGTCACCAAGAAAACAATTGGTAACACACTACGCCGTGAAGGAATGAAATCCTGCTGCGCCCGCAAGGTCCCCCTGCTCAAGAAAGCACATATACATGCCCGTCTGAAGTTTGCCAATGAACATCTGAATGATTCAGAGGACAACTGGGTGAAAGTGTTGTGGTCAGATGAGACCAAAATTTAGCTCTTTTGCATCAACTCAACTCGTCGTGTTTGGAGGAGGAGGAATGCTGCCTATAACCCCAAGAACACCATCCCCACCGTCAAACATGGAGGTGGAAACATTATGCTTTGGGGGTGTTTTTCTGCTAAGGGGAGAGGACAACTTCACCGCAACAAAGGGATGATGGACGGGGCCATGTACCGTCAAATCTTGGGTGAGAACCTCCTTCCCTCAGCCAGGGCATTGAAAATCGCTCGTGGATGGAAATTCCAGCATGACAATGACCCAAAACACACGGCCAAGGCAACAAAGGAGTGGCTCAAGAAGAAGCACATTAAGGTCCTGGAGTGGCCTAGCCAGTCTCCAGACCTTAATCCCAATGAAAATCTGTGGAGGAAGCTGAAGGTTCGAGTTGCCAAACGTCAGCCTCGAAACCTTAATGACTTGGAGAAGATCTGCAAAAAGGAGTGGGACAAAATCCCTCCTGAGGTGTGTGCAAACCTGGTGGCCAACTACAAGAAACGTCTGACCTCTGTGATTGCCAACAAGGGTTTTGCCACCAAGTACTAAGTCATGTTTTGCAGAGGGGTCAAATACTTATTTCCCTCAATAAAATGCAAATCAATTTATAACATTTTTGACATGCGTTTTTCTGGATTTTTTTGTTGTTATCCTGTCTCTCACTGTTCAAATAAACCTACCATTAAAATTATAGACTGATCATTTCTTTGTAAGTGGGCAAACGTACATAATCAGCAGGGGATCAAATACTTTTTCCCTCACTGTATACTGGATGTGCTTGGTATGGAAATATTTTATGGGTCCCTGATCCAGACTCAGATGAAATGAAGGCCTGGTTAACTCTCCATAATCCATGCCCATGACAAAGAATGTGGAATTTCTACTGCTGGCTCATGGTTGTCAGCGGAGATGAGCATTGCCTCATGTCCATTTGAAAGTATCTTGCGCCAAAGGAAGCATGTTTGTTGATGATAAAAAAAATCAGATGTCTCAAACATTAAGCCTAAAGGCTTGTAGGATGAAATACTATACATTTAAAAATCTTACAGTGTAAGTAATTAAGCTAACAATGTGTAGTTTTCCAAGAAAAAAATAATTCAAATAGATACAGCAAAAGCAAATCATTCATGATACAATCATCTGCGAATTTCTGTACTTCTCTCATTGGCAATTCGCGACCGCTTCCATTAAGTCATGACACACCGCGGCGGAGCGAAAATGCTTCGTGGACCGCAAACCGCTTTGCGTAGAAGAGGGCAGGGCTAACACGGAGCTGCAGCAGTGGAGCTGCATGGAAAGGCGGAGGGGAGGTTTAAATAGGTGTGATGATGGGATTTGTTTAGTATAAACGGATTTAGCTTTTGTCACACTTGGATGTTACATCTAAAAATGCGAAATATTACTTAACATGGACCCATCTGGCAGATTTTCATCATTTGTGTATTGGATAACCTTATCATCTGCGAATTTATCGTGGGTTAATTTATCTACACCTCTCCTGCAATTCACAAATATTCTCAAATAGAATCGCGCGGCCAATTCCTCCCAAAATCCGCGGGATAATTGTGTCAGCGTAATATTTTTGCGGAATATTTGGTCTCACCTCCGTGGTCTGCCTGCTGTACAGTAGTTTAGTGACCTTTGTTAAATACCACACTGGACTTTACTGTACACTGTTTTTGAAACTGTATACAAGGAATGTTCCAAATATTTTGGGCTAACTGCAATATCTGAAAATCATGCCTAGATATGACATTGTGGATGATCCAAATATTTGTTTTGTATTAGAAAACCGTGACATCACTTAACATGTGATGTCACGTGGCATAAGGTGACATCAAGATCGTTAGCAATGAAGACATGTTAATTGATACGTAATGTAAATGATCTATATATCTCAGAGATCCTAAAATGTCCTTAAAAAATCTGAAATATTAAAATCCTAAACTCAACCATCGTACAGGCAGACCTCGTTTAGCGCTACCCCATAGAACGCCGACTCGTTATAACATTCTTTGTCCTGTAGAACAATGTTACTTAAAAATTAAAATCCAAAAAGCACTTTTGAGTGAGAACACCCAATGTGGGGGAAACGCGCCTGCCATCATATTTGTTTACATTCGCTCAGCCAATGAGAGCATCGTACGCTGAGCTAAGCAGCGCTCATCAATTTAAAAGATAACACACCCATCCGCCAAAGTGTCTACTCGACCTTGGTCTCTGTGTTTTTCGTGCGTTTTTGTGAGCATTTTAGATCCAAAATAACTGCAAAAAGGCCTGCAAGTGTTACTGCTGGAAATGTTACCAAAGTGTCAAGTAAAACTATCGCTTTGGATGTAAAATGCAAACAGTAAGACGGGTCGAGGAGGTGAGCGTCAGGCTGGTGCACTGGTGAGTACAGTACATAATACTTACTGAAATGATAAAAAAACCTAATCTTTTACTTATAAAATGTTTAGCGTCTGTATTGTTACTAGCAATATTACCGATACCTCAATAAAGCCCTCATATCTTGCTCATGTAATAAATAATGTCGTTGCGAAGGCTTCCCTATAGATATACAATGGTATGACCCCTTTTCGTGCTCAATTTTCCGGTAACGCATCTTGAGTGCTAAGCAAGGCCGAACGATAGGCAGTTCTCGACTTAAGAACGCCCGACTTACAAACACCCGTACTTACAAATCAGCTTCCATGAAATAGAAAAAATAAATGTAACATGGACTTACAACGCAAACTCGCACTTGCAAACTGAACTGAGGAACTATTTTGTTAAGAGGAGCAATACTCTTTGGTTCTTTCGGTAAAGTCACGTAGGTAAATAATAAAATACAGTTAATCAAATCATGACGTTTTGGAAGCAACACAAGCCTCCATCATCAGGTGGGATAGTCACAGCAAGAAGTAATTTGCTGTAGTGGACAAGAGCTGCTCGTAACAAGGATATTATATAAGGCAAGGGGGGGGGGGGGAGGAGCCAAGGGGAAGAGAAGTAGAGGGCGGGGAGGGGGGGGTGTGGAGTAGGGGAGGGGGAGGTTGAGTGAGCATCAGCCACCTGGTAGGCAACACGGCTGGTGCGAACAATGTGGGAGCTGGGAGAGATGCTGAGGCCGGGGGACGGGGTGTGGAGTAGGGGGATGAGTGAGGATCAGCCACCTGGTGACTTTACCGAAAGAACCAAAGGGTATGGATCATTGCAGTCACGAAAACTTCAAATCTAGAACTAAGAGGAGCAATCCTCCGCAAGATGTAATTCGTCAGCCTCGCGCTGGCAGTGTTTGTGTGTGTAAAAGTGTGAGTGTGGTCCGGCAAAACAACCCCCTACCTCCTTGCGGTGCCGGATGGGCAACTCTGTTGTGGACAATGCTGTGGGGGGAGGGCCAATTCCGATTGGCCCCTCCTCTCATGGCGTCTATGACCACCACAGTGGCTAAACGGGGACTCTGGACGGGTGTGAGGGGCTGGTAACACCTCCACCTTCAAATTTTTTACCACGAAACCACGAATAAAGAATGTAACTAATAAGCTTGTGCCGAAGGCCCCAGGGAGACAGGCGTCTATGACGTCTCCTGGCCAAACCCCAATTGGCGGAGCCAGGAGATTGAATCTCTACCCTCGGGGCTCCTCCAGAAACAACAAAAAGCCACTTCGTGTGGCCACTTGGAATGTTCAAACGCTCACTGCGGAGGAGAGGCTGCCACTCCTCTGTCGGGAGCTGGACCGGTACCGCCTGGATCTCTGTGGCATTCAGGAGGTCCGGTGAACCGGTTCTGGCTCCTGCCACCATAAGGGGTGGACAGTCCTCTACTCGGGGCAGCAGACTGC